CTATAGGTGAAGTACTATAGTGTTTCGCCACTGCCATGGACCACGGATTTGCTATGTCAGTGGCGGTTTATTGAACGGACCCGCAATGGACGGCGCTCTTCCATTGGGGTTTCGCGTGATTTTTTGACCACCATGGAACTAGAATATCCGTGACAGTACCGCCACAGACATGCTAGGTCTGTGGCGGTCGAAAAGAGCACGCCGTCCGATTTTTTCGGACGGCGATGGGCCTACGAGCGAGATCACTGTAGCATCTTGCCCATAGATGTTGTGTAGATGCTTCCTATATATATATATATATACACTATTGGTCCAGAGGTAAAGGAGAATCAGATTAAGCCACGCTGTGATTACTGTTGTGACACTTAAAAGTGATTTGAGTTTTTTGTTTTCCTTTTTAAGACATTAAAATATTTTTGTTTTCATTTTTCTTAGACATGCCCATCGTGTAGCTTTCGAGAAATCAGATTTGTTCTTTGTCTGCCTATTGAGACCATTATCAACGCAAATCATAGTAGATGAACTTGAAATCCAGGCTGCCAAGGTAACATTTAATATCCCCGTAATTGTTTGGTTGATTCTTTGTAAATATTTCCAGAAGAAGATACATATGTCTTCTTCTCTGCCCTCGAGTTACTTGATAGAAATTCCCACTTTTTGAAACCAAATCCCTCTTTTTATTCTCCACAATGATTTATCACTTCTTTTTCAAGCTTTGAGCTCTATTGAGTCTTATCAAGAATATTTGCATTTTTCATCTCTTTATTGTTATTTATTTATTTATGTAGTTTTCACTTGTATTGATGATTGGTAGGTACTATAAATGTTTTCCTTATAGTAAATGAGAAACTGTTTTGTTTCAGTGGATGCCTCTGAGTGAATTTGTAGAACAACCATTCTACCAGGGTGACAGCATGTTCAAGAAGGTCATCGAGATATGCATCGCTCGCCTTTCTAACCGGTACCATGGATTGTTGGCCAATGAAATGGTTTCGGAATTCGAAGGAAAACCATCTTTCTTGTATTATAATGTGATTTAGCTTAGGTAAAGGAAACTTATTATAATGTGATCTAAGCTGAGGGAGATGTAACATCTTGGTTCCATGCACATGTTGTCTAGGGGAAGGACATTCTAATACTTGGATTCATGTATATTCTCAACTGTGTAATTCAGTAAAAGCTCTATATAGTGTACATATATTTATGTCCAAAATTAAAAATTATGGTTAATCTCTGCCGTTCGTTGTTGGGAATGGATGGCACATGACATCGTGTACCATACACCCTAGGTGTATGACTCTTTGTGAACTTTTATTTATCAAATGGATGGCCCAGTTCACGATATCTACTTACCTATTTTCAACAAAAAAAAAAGATAGCAAATAAAAAGGATTTATCAGTGCAGTGAATTATTGTACTTTGGCATGGAGAGATTTATTGGCATATATATGTGTCAGAGAGTGAGGATTAACAAAGAGCGAGCAAAGAGGAGAAACGAGGAGAGAGAGAGGATAAGATTAAATAAAGAGAAATTTATCAAATGCACCTGAGATGAATTATTTTATTTATTTATTTATTTAATTGCAAAAGGAATATTTTATTTATTTAGTTAATTAATTGCAATAAGCGCATCAAAATGCATGGTTAGGAGTTGGAATAGTTGAAAATGTGTAAAATATTACAAATTGCAGTTTCTATAGGGCTTGTAAAAACAAAATAAAACCACACTTGGAATCATTGTCCGGAAAGCTCTTTAAGCATTGAAAATATCTATGATGTCTCTAAAATCAATTTCCTACATCAACTATGAAATTTGAAGCTAAAAAAGTATATAGATCTTACGGATCCATGGATGCTTCGGTGAAATGGACGTCTAGATGATGCATTACAACATATACTAGTGTTATGGCTTGAAACTTCTGTTTTTTTTTTTTACAACTATAATGGTCAATGCCAAAATAATTTTGAAGGTTTTTCGATGATAGAACTATAATTTTTGGTGAGTTTATGAGATGAGGCATTACTTATTTTGTAGTGTTGCAGCCCTATCAAAATACTTTCAATATTAAATTGCTAATAAATTACTATCAAAATACTCTCCAATTGCATGTATTTTTATAAATTTGCCTTAAATAAAATATTTGGGATAATCAATTGGAGGCGTTTCTTATTTCCCTTCTTAATGATTAATTTTTATTTTTTATTCATAATTTTATTTTATTTTGCTTCAGGTTAGTGGTGGATATATAGGGCGTTCGAGAGGTCAGGATTTAAACCCTCGAAGTTTGTCAAAAAGCCCAAATAAACTAACCTATACTTTTTTAAAAAAAAAAATTTCCTTCTGAAATATCATGATTGAAAATATTTGTCCATGGTCTCCATGGATAGATTATATTATAACATATTCCACTAAAGATAAGGGCTCAATTATTAAGGTTTCTAACTTTCAAACTTTTAAAAGGCTAAAAGGTTGTTGATTTAGCTAGTAAGTAAACGAAGCTTAATGGTCGTCCCAAAGAATCAAATTGTATATATGATCCCATTGACAAATCACCTCATTTGTTGTTTTTTATGAGCTGAAAATTTTCAATGATATACGTTTTAATCATTACTTTTTGAAACAGATTCGGTTAAATCCGTGTAACTCGGCCTTGCCCACTCGGACTCGTCCTATTGGTAGGCGATTTTTGTAAGAGTTGGGGTGCTAACACAATAGCACCAAATAGATAAAAAAGATAAAAAATGTGGTTTGTATAGAGCTGATGCTCTAAATAATCAAAATAAAGCTTACTTTCAAATAGCATCGAGAAATGTGATTTCAACACTTAAAGTCTTTAGAGCCTGACTCTGTATAAAAAATTTCCAAAGATAAAAGATGTCAAAAAACAAAAAATGTGGAAAACACCGATATAATATTTAGAAATATATTTTTAGACATGAGTGCGTATAGCACGCTCTGTGGGTTGGATTTTGAGTTCTTCCACATTTAGATATTTAACCCCAAGAATTGGACAGGTGTTGTTCAATCTTAGGATATCATTGTTTAAGGCAAGCAGAGAGCACAAATCATTTTATTTTATTGAGGTTGAACAGGGTTCTTGATATTGCATCCCCAAAGTTTGGGATCCATTAAATATTCGTAGCTTGAGTTTGCTTGAGGGAGCAAAATGGATAGTATGCTCCCGTGGGAGCATCAAAACCTTTTCACTTTAGATATTTTGATGATTTTTAAGATGATGTTGAAAACTTTCATTATTATTATTTGTTGTTTTTTAAAATTTTCTACAACATTCAATATAAATCAAAACTTTCAATAATCTATCTTGATGGGATTGTATATAATGAGATTATTTATCTTTAATACAAGGAGGTCACAATAACTTATAACCATCAGATATGAAATTTGATATATTTTAATTTTCTACAACATTCAATATAAATCAAAACTTTCAATAATCTATCTTGATGGTATTGTATATAATGAGATTATTTATCTTTAATACAAGGAGGTCATAATAACTATAACCATTAAATATGAAATTTGATAGTTTGGGTGTGTCACAAAATTCGAAAAAATTTATTTTGAATTTTGAGCTTGGTCAATGAAATAAATACAGCCACTCAATTTCACATTTAATGGTCAAAATTAAAAGTGGCCACCTTGTATCAATAGGAAATAATCTCATTATGTACTTTCTCTTTATATATTTTTTCATATTCTTTAGTCTTCTAATGATTGAATTTAACTTTCTTACTTTTAACTATATTTTACAAATTTTCAGCATTTCTTTTTGCTTTTTAATATTTTTGGGATGTACATGACTCGGTCGAGTTACACGCCTCTTACCTAATCCATGAAAGAGACTATTTAGAGTAAGTTTTAGAGCGTCAGTTTTGGGCACTCTCCGAATGGACCCCACAAAAAGTCCAACTGTTATTGCAGGACTACCAAATCTTTTCCCTAAACTATATTTGATTTAGTGGCTTTAAACAAGGCCATGATGCTTGTTGGAAACATTGGTTTTTCCTCTCTTTATGATAATGTTGTCCTTGATCTCCTTGTAGAGTGTAATAATGTTGCCCCTCCCCTTTTACCTCCCCATAATGTATTCTATTTTCAAATATTGGGCAAAGTATTTGATGAAGGATACATGACCCAAAACACATCTTAAATTACATTAAAGCTATTATCAGTGATATCTAATAATCTTTTAAGAATTAAAGTCCATAAAAAGTAAAAAATAAAATTATTTTTAATGTTTCTGCGTTTACCCTGGTTTTTTAAAATGTTGGACCTCAAAGGCATTGCAAATCAACAAAAATCCATTTTTTACTCATATTAATGAATTTAGAGCACCAAAAGTAATGTAGATTTGATTATGATTGAAGAATTGAAATGAGAGTAAATAATACAAAATGGACCATTTCAGGGCTCAAAATTCTTTCTTTCTTTGTTTTTTGGGTTCAAATTCATGATCATGATGGTTTGGATGGTAGACCTGTGAAATTTTAAATCCATAATTCCATCTCTAATATGGATTTTGAAAGGGTGGATGAACTGTGGCAACCATGTTGCTAGATAAACCTAAATCATATCCTCAAATTATGTGCATACCTGCAACCGCTTGATCATGATCTGATAGCTGACAATACAACACAATAATGTTACATAAATCTAGTAATGAATTGGTTCAATACACTAAAGATATGCTCCCTATGATATAAATGTTAGCTAGTCTTGTCGGGCGGTAATCCAAAATCACCTCTATAAAAAAATCCTATATTATGTACGAATAGTATTGATAATAATAAGTTTCCTAAATTAGTTGGAATACCTATTTAAGTTCAACAAGATTAGAACTCTTGATTATATCTTAAGTTTGAGATGTAAGTGACATTTATGAGATTATCATTTGGTATGAGATTCATAATCTTATATATAAGAAATGAGAGAGGACGTATTAAGCGTGCCGTAATTGGTTTACCACATGGGTTAGTTGGTTTCCTATAAAGAGAAGGAGGTGGGGGCCCAAATCCCCACTGACTTACCCATTGCTTACCCAAAAATAAAAATAAAAAAATAAAAAAAAAAAGAAAAGAAAAGAAGGAGGTGGGAGCCTCATGTGTGTGAGAAGCAAGGTCCCCACAGATAGTAAGAAATGAACTTGGAGAAACTTTTTAATACCACCTCCTGAATGGCTGAGAAATGAGGTGATGTTGGTCAGGAGAGCGGGTCTAAATGGATTGTTCAACTGAGTTTTGTTAAGGGTTAGAGAAGTAACTGTCTCTAAATCTATAATGTAACTCCCATTGATATAGTACATTTAAGTTTGTCGAGCTCGTAGATCTAGGACTTTAGGGTGAACCACGTAGTTTTTTTTGTTATTTAAGTGTGTGTTTTTTATGTTTTATTTATCATATTATGATTCATATTCTTATCTATTTTGTTTCTAACCAATTAAGTACATGATCATGTTGGGTTCCCAGTCTCAAGATTCTTGTTTATGCATTTAAGAGGATTCTTTAATCCTAACATTAACTATTGGATCGAGATCACATGGCTATATGTATCGAAATATATAAATAAGGGATATTTAAGAAAAAGTCACGGTTAAGTTGGGCATCTAAAATAAGCCCCCTCTATTTTGTATACCACTTTTTTCATATGTTTTTTTATTGAAAAAATTACATAAATATTTGTTTTAGTTTTTGTTATTACCGAATATTTTTCGTTATTATCTATATGTTTTCTTTTTGGACTTCATAACAATTGAAAAAAAAAATTAGACCAATTTCTGATTTTGAAAAACCAAAAAATTTTAATTTTAATTTTCATGTTAAATAATTTGTTTTCGGGTTGACGCAGACAACCCTGGTCTCACTTTGAACCCTTTATTATGGGGGAAAGAAGTTTATATAGAGCCGAGGCTCTAAACAATCAAATTAGAACCCATCTCAAATTTTTTTTTAAAAGAGGTTATTTTGATGTCTAAATGTCTTCAAATTGATCATTCCACAATAAGATCATGGACATGAGAAATAAAAAAAAAAGATTTAAAGAATTGAAAATTGTGTATCATGTAACACATTTTTGGACCGTTGATTTTCAAGATTTTCAAGTGTTCTTAGATGTGCTTGATCTACACTATTTTTAAAACTTTAAATTTTATAATAAAATATGAAAATATATTTTAAAGCTATCCCAAAGATTTTCAATATTTAAATCACATTTCTCGATACTATTTGAAGGTGAGCTCTAATGTGATTGTTTAGAGCCTCGGATCTATACACACCGCACACCTTTATTATTCAACATTTTTAACCCCCTCCGTCTCCTTTTTTTCAATCACTTAGTCTCTCTCTACATATTTCTTGTCGTTCTCTATCTTCATTCCAACAATGGTGCTTTCTCTAGTTTTTGTTCATTGCCACACACTCTCTCTTTCTATCCCTCACTCCGGATCTCTGCGCTTGTTGTTGCCCCAGTAATGCCCCTCCAACAAAATTGGGGGGAGCAATTGACACTCTAGATCCTGGTAAGTTTTAATGCTCTTGATGATTTTAACTGGTTAAATTTAATACTTTCTCCTTTTGAAAGTTAATGCTTTAGGGTTTTTATTTGGACGTAATGCGGTGTTGGGATTATGATCTTTGTTGTATTGAGAGATTTTGGGAATCCATTCCGGGTTCTTCTATTTCTGTTTGTTGCATTGTTGAGTTTGATTTTCTCTCTCTCTCTCTCTCTCTCTCTCTCTCTCTCCCTCTCTTCATAAAGATTTCATCTTTCTGGGTTGTGGGTTTCTTTCTTCTGTTATTTTGTTGGGTATCTGAATTTGGAATCTAGTCTTGGCCTCTTTATTTTTGAGTCCTTATAGTGTATGCTTTATGCTTGAGTTTGGTAGATTGTGGGCTTCATGTTTTGTGTTTCAATTGTTTAGATGTGATACTGTGAATTTGTGTCTATGGCATTGTGGGTTTTATTTTTTTTTCATTCTGATTCCTTTTTTTGTTTTTCTTTTCTTTTGTTAATGTTCAGATGGGAGGAGATATGGATTTGATTTGTATTTTTAATTTTTATTCATGTCTGCATTGGAAATTGTTCCTTTTTCTTTTATTTTATGCTTATTGGATTGTGTCTCCTGTGTGTGTGCGTGTGTGTACACACGCATGTGTGTATATCAATTTATTTCTATCGAATTATGGATTTTGATTCATATGTGCATTTAATTTTGAATAGCATATATTTTGTATTGAGTTCAGTTTCTTTATGGGATCAAATTCATGCCATAAACTTGTTAGAACCATTTAAATGCTTGAGTTAGAGTCTTCTTTTTCCATTTTCATTCGCTTTTTCGCTCTCATTAATGTGTGGGTTGTGATGTTTGAATCCTGCGCCTCTTGTGCGTTTTAGTTTGGAATTGGGAAATGCTGAGGAAGTTCTAAAGGAGAGGATAAGTGGGAAACAATGCCGTATTTTCTATCAAACTCTTCTTTGGAGCGTCGCAATGGTGGAAATCGTACACAACTTTACTTGAATGTCTATGATCTTACTCCTATAAACAACTACTTGTATTGGGTTGGACTGGGCATCTTCCATTCAGGAATTGAAGGTACTAATTTATGAATCCTTGTCCTAAGTGATTTCTGGCTGCCTTTTATTATTCTATATAGAAATGTCACTTTTCTTTGGTAGTTGTTAATGCTTTTATTAAGTGGGAGCATGTAATATTTTTTATCATATTAGGGTGCTGAGGAAGCCCGTTTTAGGATTGGTAGTGCCCTCATGAGTTGGAGGTACTGGTGGATAAGTTTCAAGCGCAGTCACATGACACTTATTTATTATTTGGAAAAAGTGACTTAAGAAAATTTTTAATTTTGGAAGAAATTACCGAAGGAAATCAGCAAAAATTCCATTAAAACTATTAATGGTAGAAGGGTATCATGAGAGATTTTATAAGTTTTGGCAAGTTGTGTAAAAATTTCTGCACTTATGTTGTGCAGAACACTAATTTATATATAAAAAAGAAACACATTATACTTTTTGTTCGCAAAACCATATTGGGATCAATGGTTTGGAGTTTGGACATATTGGGGTGGTCAAAGATGTACATTAATTTGTAGATTGATGCAGTAATTTTCCTCAAGGGATGGCAATTTAAAAAAAAGAGAGTAAAATATTATCTTTGAGAGGGGATTATCTTGCTTTGTTTCTAATATTGTATTCTTGACCATATAATTGTTCTTGAATAATCCCACAATCTTCGTTTCAGAGGTTGTAGCCATTCCGAAAAATAAATAGTAACTCTATTGATATTGCGACTTCAAGGGGCCTACTTCCTTAAACATATAGAAACAGCCACTTCCAGAAATTAAATAACAATACCATTGATAATGCCATTTTGGGGGGGCTACTTCCTTAAACATATAGAGAAAGCTACTGTTAGGGGGCTACCTCCTTGCACTTTTCAACCAAATTCTTCTCTGCTCACCATAAGACACTAGACCCCTTTTATAGCAATCAACTGAGACATGAAGGAAATTAGCAAATGTAAGAAGTCATCTAATAACGTATCCTACCTTCTATTTTTGTTCTTACCTAATATCCGTGTCTTCTCAATTGCCTCTCCAATTAAACATTTTTCCTTTAGCCAAAGAAACACGCACACCCTTCTTTATTTAGACAATTCCTTATTTCATACCAACTTACCAATCCCTTTCCTAAGCAATTGACAATTTGATCCTCAGTCTAAGAAATATAGAAAATCCCGATATTGTTGCCATCATATCGGAGGTGGAACACCTGCTTTGTATAAGGAAGTTCTTGTTCAGAAGGACTTCAAGAGGTCATAGTGGGTCTATTATGAAAGCTAGATTCCCTACAAAGGAAAAGATTGTTTGGTAGAATAGAGTTGCCTTGTGCCACATACTTAAGCATCTGAATATCCTATATTGCGTTCTATTTTCTTTTTTTTAAAATTTAAATATAAGTGGCTGCATGATAATAGCCTTGAAGAGTATGCTTGTGTATTATCTAGTTTTCACCATTCATATGCAATAGTGCTTTATTCGTTGAAGGAAAATTGTTTGGTGCGGCCAAACCCGCACCTGTTACTATGCGGGCCGGAGATCTACACCGTCGACCAAAACAAAGTCCCTTAAGTAATAGTCCTCCAAAGAAAAAGTAAAATCAAATTTTCAAATATTTTCTCCAAAAAAATATCATTTCTAGTTTTTAAAATTTATTTATTTTTATAGATTAATATTCTCCAAGGGGCCCACATTTTCTGCATGTGCGTCCATGGCCCACATGCTAACCGCGTCCTTCATTGAATGCCTTGGTTAACTTTTGTTTGTCAGTTATATAAGGGATTGTAGCTTTACTTGGGTATTTTCACAAGCTATATTGTTCTGCCTAGTAGTATTTATATTAGTTCTAGAAAATGTTCTATAGGTATATCCTTGTGACCCAGCTTCTCACTTGATGGTCAACCCACAAAGTTGGGATTAAGCTTGCCAGAAGATGGCAAATGATGAATAGATCAATCAAGCAATCACTACGGGCCAGTTTGGACAGTATTTTTTATTTTATTTTTTTTAACTATTTTTGCTGTTCTGTCGTGTTCTTGAAATAGTAAAGGCCATGTTCAGTCCACTTTTTCAGGAGTAAGTTTAATTTCTTAGCCCTGCTTGCTTCGAAAAACACCGTTATCTCTGCCCCGAAAAGAAACCTTTTCCTCCGTCTCCCTCATCTCTTAACTCTCTAAAATCCCATTTGATCAATAAAGTAGCATCCAAACTGTGCCCTGAGACAACATGTGAGTTTACTTCTAAAAGAGAACGTAGAAATAAAATATTCTATAGCAATTGGGCCTGGGTCTTCTATCTCATGGCCTCTAGCATGAAGAGGACTCAATAGTTGGTATTCTTAGTTGATGGCCTCCTTTTCACGGCTTTCAAGTCTGTTTCCTAGAGTTACAAATTTCAATGTGTGTACATTACATGTTCTTAAGGAAGTTCTACATTGTGTTGCTGTGTAGATTTGTTATCAATGTTAAGGCTGAATGTTTTGAAGAAGAAAAAAAAATGATAAAGTATGAAGAGAAGATCGCATTTGGTTTATGTTTTATGTTGGGCCAGTTTGGACATTTTCATAATTCTGCCCCTTTGTTTCTGTTAATTTAGATTAGGGGAAAAGTGGTCTTTTAAAATTTCAAAATTATCAAAATACACTTAAGAGCTGTACTATTTAACATTTTACCTATACTTTTTATTTAATATCAGAAATCCCATCAAAATGCACATGATTAGAAGTTGGAATTGCCGAAAATGGGTAAAATGTTAGATAGTTGATGAGTTTGATGAGTCTAGTGTATTTTGATAAATTTTCCTTAAAATTTTTAAGTTATACAAAACAATCCGCAACACTCTTATTAGGGGGGAAATAAAGGGGCCTATTTGCATTGGTTAAGATGGGCGATTTGGTTCAAGTGGAAGGCTCTAAAAGGGCAAGTAGAAGGCCCAAGAGGACATGGATGGAAGTAGCGAGAACAGATATGGTGACGTATGAAGGTGAGCAAAGTGGTGGAACATGATTTGTGTAGCCAATCCCAAACGGTTGGGATAAAGCTAAGATATAATGATTTGAAGATAGCAAGTGTGGGCCAAACTCCCGATTTTTGCACCTTTAAATAAAATTGCTGGATTTCTGGGCCTGCCTAAAGTAGTTGCATGCAAGCACACACTAAGTTTTCAATGATAAATCATTTTTTGAGGTCAGAGCAGGGACAAGAGGAGTTTACATGTCTTAAAGAGCTAATGTCTAAAACACATACAACATTCTTTTAATATTTGCTGGATTTCTGGGCCTGCCTAAAGCAGTTGCATGCAAGCTTGCACTAAGTTTTCAATGATAAATCCTTTTTTGATGTCAGATAAAGGACTAGTGGAGTTTACATGTCTTAAAGAGCTAATGTCTAAAAACACATACAACATTCTTTAAATAGTTGCCCTCCATATCTTCTTCTGATTTTATATTGCTTCATATGTAATTTCTCTTTTACTTTGATGAGCTGCTAATTCTCTCTCTAAACAAAGTTCCTTTTCCGTGTCCAATTTTTTCTCTGACCTTCGAAACAGTTCATGGATTGGAATATGGATTTGGAGCCCATGATTTCCCAACCAGTGGGGTGTTTGAAGTGGAGCCAAAGAGTTGCCCTGGCTTCATTTACAGGCGCTCAATTTTCTTAGGAAGCACTGATATGTCTCTTTCTGAGTTTCGAACATTCATGGAGAACCTTGCTGGAAAATATCATGGGGACACTTATCATCTCATTGCAAAGAACTGTAACCATTTCTCCGATGATGTTTGCATGAAATTGACTGGAAAGCCTATTCCTGGTTGGGTGAATAGACTCGCCAGATTAGGTGAGGACTCTCTCTTTCTCTCCCTACCCCCCCCCCCCCAAAAAAAAAAACCCACCAAAAAATTAACACACAAATCAAAAATTAATATAAGGCCCTTTTCTTACCCCAACACTTTGAGAAAATTTCAGGTTCCTTCTGTAGCTGTTTGCTACCGGAAAGTATTCAAGTTGCGGCTGTAAGAGAACTGCCTGAGATCAATTCATATTCCGGTGAGTTCAGTGACTATTTTCATAACTTAAATGTTTCCTGTGAGCTCTCTTAATTTGTAAAATTAAATGTTTCCTGTGAGCTCTCTTAATTTGCAAACTTAAATGTTTCCTGTGGCCTCCTCCTAATCTGGTTGCTAATGTATGCATGATGCATGTGTTGATCTGTTGAAAATGATTACCGCCTTTGTATATCTTGGGTGAGATGTTTGTCATTTTCAAAATCGAGCATCCCGATTATGGAAGGAATGTATTTTTAGAAAATGATTTAAGTCTGAAAACCTATCTCTCTCTCACACACACATGTATGCATGCACGCACGAACACACACACACACCCCCAGACCCCATAAGATGGATATCTTGAACACGGATCTGGTTTATGTCACTCGGAAATTGCTCCATCTCTCGTTCTTGGGTCTCTCTCTCTTTCTCTCTCTCTCTCTCACACACACACACACACATACACCTACACATGTTATGAATCGGCTGATCTTGAGCACAGATCTCTTACTGGTTTTTATCTCACTGGGAAATTACTCAATCTCTTGCTCTTGGGTTTATGCACCATTCCTCCCCCCCCACCCAAAAACAAAAGCCCTTGTAGAATCTGTAACTACAGGAAAATGAACACCTCCTTTTCTCCTTTCCCTTAGCCAATCATGTAAATATTTTGAATCCAGCAGTAAAATCAAATGATGATGGCACCTCTATATTTTGACCTGTAGCATTTGTATTTTCTTCCATGGAAGCCCTTTAGTTTGGAAAAACAAAGAACAGCAGTTACACAACAGAAATTTATGGCATCTATAGGATTCAGTTTTTTTTCTTAATTTTGCATTTCACTCCTCTCCTCTCTCTCTCTATCTCTCTCTCTCTCTCTCATTCATATCTGTTAAAGTTGTCAAAATTCTCTCTCATGGTTACAGATGATTCGGAGACAGCATCAATAATTTCGATCCATGATTTGGCGGAGACAGACGAGGAGGACCCTGATCAGCACCTTCTCAACTCCCCTAACGGGGATGTGGCATTCTTGAGAGAGAAACCTGTCAAATTGGCCAGGGAGCTTCTCTGACATTTTCTACTTCTTCCTCTTCTTGGTTCTTGTATTTTTGCCTGACCTTGATGTTGTTGTTTATTAGTTGGAAGTGGTTTGAAGAGTCCATTGTTTGAGTGTGATTCAAAGCCTCTTGTATATGGTCTCTCTGTAATTAATATTGAAACTCTGGGTCCGTTAAAGGGCTGTTGAGTATTTGGTCTCTCTGTAATTTATATTGAAACTCTGGGTCCATTAAAGGGATGTTGAGTTTCTAAGTCCTTTGCTCAGCTACATGGATTCCACCCATCTGTGCCAAGTGAAAGAGGTGATTCTTTTGTTTTAATTTCCATTGAATCTCTCTATCTGTCTCTCTTTCTCTTTCTCTCTCTCTTGTTAGTGTACGTGAACGCCTTTGTGAGAGAAAATCTCAGAAATAGCCCTGGGCAGGTTCCAATAAATGGCTCCATGTCTGAGAGATCATGCGCACAGTTTGCTCCTACAGGAGCAAAACGGGGTGCATATAATCTTTTAGCTAGGCTCAGTAGAAGGAGGTGTGAGAGAGTGACAAATTTTAGATAAAAAAATTAGTATTATACCGTAGGATTCATTTGGCGTTTAATTAGAGTAGGAGCCTACGGGATTACAAGAGTAATGTTGAAGAGAATTTTACAACGAGTTTGTATGACTTACCGCTGAGTCTAACTTAATGTCTATGACTTTATAGACAAGTACCTTCATTCTTACTATGAGTGGAATCTATATTAAAATAATAAAAACATTTAGAAAAAATTACAAAAAAAAAGAAAACCCAAGATTACATTTTTTATGCAACTTACTTCAACCTACCTTTTTCTCTCGCTTTTTTTCTAAAAGAAAGTTTTATCCAAATACCCCAAGGGAAAATGTTATTATTTTTCTCACTTTTTTTCCAAAACAAATTTTTATGCAAATACCCTCAAGGGAAAATGTTATTATTTTTAGTTCGTAAATGCCATTTTTTTACACAAAAATCATTTTGGCCTGTTTTGACGTTGACTTTTGGGGCCCCAGCATCACATTATCGGAGCGCGCCATCACATTCGCACTATCACATTGTCGGAGCATGTAAATGCCGAATCGCTTCCAACAATGTCGAATTGCATCCATCACATTCGCACCATCACATTGTCGGAGCACGTAAATGCCGAACCGCCTCCGACAATGTCGAATCGCATCCGACAATGCCGAACCGCCTTAAGGCAACTACCAGATCGAAACTGAGTATTGTTGGACTGCTCTTTACATAGTTCCGCTCTAAGACAACTACGTTTGAAACTGAGTATTGTCGGACCACCTTAAGACAACTATCGGACCGAAACGAAATTGAGTACTGTCGGACAACTCTAAGACAACTATTAGACCGAGACAACTATCAGACCGAAACTAAGTACTGTCGGACCATCCTTTACATAGTTTCGCCCTAATACATACATAGTTCTGCTCTAAGACAACCACCAGACCGAAACTGAGTATTGTCGGACCTAGTTTCGCTCTAAGACAACTACCGAACCGAAACTGAGTACTGTCGGACCACCCTAAGACAACTACTGGACCGAAACGAAATTGAGTACTGTCGAACCACCCTAAGACAACTATTAGACCGAAACAACTATCAGACCGAAACTAAGTACTGTCGGACCGCCCTTTATATAGTTTCGCCCTAAGACAACTACCGAAACTAATTATTGTCGGACTGCCCTTTACATAGTTCCGCCCTAAGACAACTACTAGACCAAAACTGAGTACTGTCAGACCACCCTAAGACAACTACCGGACTGCCCTTTACATAGTTTCGCCCTAAGACAACTATCGAAATTAAGCATCCCTTTGTATAGTTCCGCCCTAAGACAACTACCAGAACTGAGACTGTCGGACCACTCTAAGAAAACTACCAGAACTGAGTACTGTCGGACTACTCTAAGACAACTACCAGACTGAAATTGAGTACTGTGGAACCGCCTTTTACATAGTTCCGCCTACCAGATCGAAACTGAGTATTGTCAGACCGTCTGACAACTACCATACCGAATTGTGGGACCACCCTTTACATAGTTCCGCCTACCAGACCGAAATTGAGTACTGTCAGACCACCTTTTACATATTTCCTCCAGACGATAACTATCGGCAGTACTTGTTCTTTACATAGTTCTACCTTAAGACAACTACCGGACAGAAACTGAGTATTGCTGGACCGTACTTTTCATAGTTCCGGAATCCTAATGCCGAACCTCATGTACAAAGTGCCGGAGCCCTATTTTGGTGAGATAGAGGAGAGAGAAGTATCGTGAAGTAAAAGTAAGGGAGCCCTATTTTGGTGAGATAGAGGAGAGAGAGGCATGGTGAAGTAAAAGTAAGGGAGGGTAGTTTACGCATTTTTATTTTTATATTTGGTTGGGAGTATTTGCATAGAAAGTCTATTTTGGGGAAAAAAGTGAGAGAAAAAATGTAGTTTAGGCATTTTTAATTTTTATATTTTGTTCGGGAGGTATTTGCATAGAAAGTCTGTTTTGGAGAAAAAAGTGAGAGAAAAAATTAGGGTGGGGTCAGTTGCATAGAAAGTGTACTCTTGGGAGTTTTTTGTAATTTTTCCAAAATTTATATAAAGTTGCAATCTTATACTAGAAAAGTAATTAAATGAAATATATATTAAAATAATGAACAATTTGACATAAGGTTGCAACTTTATACTATAGAAGCAAGGTGCACATAAAAAAATTGAGTAGAAAATAATGTTCTAAAATTGGAAAGCCTTCCAATTGATCATCTAGACCTCGATATACATGGATATAAAGAAAAAAAATTAAATCCTAATTATGAATACAAGTCTATCATTTGGACTATAATTGTGAATATAAAAATAATATTATTCTTTTGACCATAAATTCAGGGGTTAAAGGTTATCAGGTCTAAACCAATATTATCAAGATCAAAATGCATAAAATATAATTAGTTAACTTTCATACAAAAAACCCATAGTTGCTTTTAGTAGTCCTATGTGAAATATGAGGGCTAAGGGTGTACCTTTGATCATCGACAGGCTTTGAGATTAATTTTTTGGACTTTATTATGATATGACAAAATGACGATAGCCGCAAGTAATAGTGAAATATTTTTATCGAAGGTAAACAATATAAAATTATACAACACAACCAATGCAAAAAGTATACAATCCCACATAGAGGGGCATCTAAGAGAGGAAAAACAAAGAGAAAAGGGTCAGGCATTCAAAGATAAATATAGGTGTCGTAGGAAGTAGGAATGAGAGAGAGAGAGAGAGAGAGAGGGGAAAAAAGATAAAAAAGGTACCTTAGGAAGTAGGAATTAGAAAAAAAAAAAAAAAAAGAAAAAAAGAGAAGAAGAAGAAGAAGACAAGATTCTTAGGAACAACCAATTAGAAAGAGAATACAAGGGCAAGGGTGAGGTTTGTATAAGGGGAAAGCTTTATATGTTGCCCTACAACATAATAGAAGTTTTATGTTCCCTCTTATCCAACTATCCATTTTTATAGAGGGCTAAAATTGTCTCAATCGCAATGTATCCCAATCACAACGTGACGTCGCTATACTGTTTTATTTTTAATTTTTTTTCTATAAACTGTTTTGACACCAAATTTTTGGATGTCCATTCTTATAATAATTCTCGCAC